TGGAAAGGTGTTGAAGAGAGCGTGTCTCTGCATATCAGACCCCGGAGGGTTCCGAGGGCAAAACACGTGATACAAGGAGAAAGAGGAAAAGACTGAAAAACAAACATGAGATATAAACCGCAATGGTATTATGGTGGCGAGGAGGCTGGATTTTCTGGAGGGAATCGGTGCAAAAGTTTACATTTGCATCTTTCTACTTGCTTTTATCTAATGACCCATGGCTGTCTTTGCAATCCCAGTGTCCATTTTATTTTAAAGTATATTGATCAGTATAATTTCCGATTTATCAGACTTATTTATCAGACAGATGTTTCCAGGTTTTGTGTCATTTTATTAGAAGCAACTTAAAGTACATTGACTGATGTCCACAATGAGCAGTGTAAAAATAATTGCTAATTCAAAATATTAATAAATAATATAAATAGTATATAAATAATACTACAATAACACCATCTTGTAAGTATATAAATAATACTACAATAACACCATCTTGTAGCAAACCTGCTGTTAAAGTAATAGCTGACTCAAAGGTATTTATTAAGTCATTATTTACTCACCCTCATGCTTTACCAAACCATTATGATTTTCATTCTTTATGAAGCACAATAGATGAAGTTAGGCTGAATGTTGATGCTGCTTTTTATGCCACACAAAGAATTTTTTAACGCCAAGACCCAAAAAGTATCATAAAAGTGGTCTATACAACTCATGCACTATATTTCAAGTATTCTGGAGTCATATGATAATTTTGTGTGAAGCACAGACTAAAATTACGCCATTTTGTAATAAAACACAAGCTGGACTAAAAAAAAAAATTAACTTTGGTTGAGGGGTGGATTATTGAATAACAGCTTGTCTGTCTGTCTGTCTGTCTGTCTGTCTGTCTGTCTGTCTGTCTGTCTGTCTGTCTGTCTGTCTGTCTGGATGGATGGATGGATGGATGGATGGATGGATGGATGGATGGATGGATGGATGGATGGATGGATGGATGGATGGATGGATGGATGGATGGATGGATGGATGGATGGATGGATGGATGGATGGATGGATGGATGGATGGATGGATGGATGGATGGATGGATGGATGGATGGATGGATGGATGGATGGATGGATGGATGGATGGATGGATGGATGGATGGATGGATGGATGGATGGATTGTCAGAAGCGTCGGGCACAGATGGAGAGACTCAGGAAGAAGTTACAACTTTTAGAATGAAACTGGACGTTTCTGAATGGTAGTGGATACATTTATGTAGTTGTTGTAAAGTTAAGTTGATTCAACTCATCGACTAGCATCTACCATTATGTTAATATAAAAAATCTTTCAGAAACAACTTTTGTGCAAACCCAGAGTTGAACTGACACTCGTTTGTGAAGCAATCCGGCGTAAAAGGATTTGCGCAAATATATAACACTAACGAATTTCATCGGCACATTTCTTTCATAAAAAGAAATTCAACCACGGTGTCCTCAGTGGCTCAGATGCCAGGAGTCTATGGAGACTATTGTGTTCATTGGTACATCCAATAACAGAACAATTGTAATGTTTTTGGCACAGACATTGTATATCTCTAGCTGCTACAGCGAGGAAACAGAAATGGCGGACTGCTGTGGCTCACACAGGGCGAGATCTATGCTAATAAAGCAGATCGTCACCAGTCATGGGCGGAGCTTCCCCCTACTCTCTTAGGAGAGAAATCTGGAACCGCTCGTTTGGAGAGACTGTTTATGATTTATGGGGATTATAAAAAGGAGTGGGTGGATTTTTACCATTATAGGCTGGTTGTTTACTCACACTGTCGACACACATGTGTTCAAACACCTTATAAAAGTGAATTTTGCATAATAGGCCCCTTTTAAGTTCCATGCTAAAGGTCACAATGATAGAGGTCCTCAGATGTGTACTAGGAACATATTAGATGAATAATGGTCATTCACACACATTGCAAAATAGTTATTTTCGAAATCCATATTGACTAAACATATTCAAGACTTCTTGTAGCAGATCCGAAGTCAAAGCCAAGGGAGCATTATGCAAGTCGGCATCTGTGCACCGCTTAAGTGTCATTACTAAAGATGTTCCTCTCATCAGGTCCTACAGCACGCTGGATCATGTCTGAGGCAGCCGCTCGACATATGAACAACGCTAACTACAGGTGGTGCAATCTGCTCACAGTTGAGGCCACGCACAAATCTACACTCAGCGCAATGATGCCAGATGATTCTGAATCTAATTCAACAGACTCAGTGCAGAATGAGCTTTCTTTTGAGATGCATTGTGCCAAATCACCACAGTTAGTTAAGGCTACACTGATGAGTGCACACTAATGCAGTAACAACACAAAATGAATACCTCTCGGCGTGTTGCGAACACAAAGATGAGGATCAGAGGTCCTGCATGTAGCACCTTGTAGTGAGTTTTCATAATTGCAACATTCATTCAGAGTTCACTGCATTAATTAGCCTTAATAGACAACATAATCGCTATTCATTAGATCAGCATTAATTTGTGTTTTCTTTTCAGCAGAAACAGAAGTACCGGGCCAGAATGGGTCTAGCCTTTGCTAGCAAGATTTCCACATGACTTTCAGTAATCATACTTACTCACTCACAGGACTTACTGGTTTGATGCTGATTTTGAATTCTTCCCACAGAAAACAGTGAGAAAAGAAAGACCAATGTGCTTATTACTGACCGGAACAAGCGCTGGAACTGAAGATCGGACCAGTTTTAACAAATCAGATAGCTATCTGGTCAGTAAAAACACATGAAGTGACCCAGTGTGAACTGGCTATTAGGTGATTATAGGCTAAATGTCCAAGTTGAAGGGTGATTTTTGCACACACACACACACACACACACACACAAAAAAAGTATCATAATAGTCCATACGACTCATACACTATATTTCATGTGTTCTGAATCTGAAGCCATACTGTAGCTTTGTGTGAGGATCTTGTGCTATATGCAAATTTAACGGAGTTCACGTCAGCGAAAGCAACAGATATGAGCTCCATTTTATTTATCATCAGCTAGTTTCAAAATCAAGGGGAGACATAGGAAAGAAAAATCCATCTCGAATGCGTTTTGAAGGGCATATCAGATAGCTATCCGATCAGTGAAAATGCATGAAGTGACCAGGTATAAACAGGCCCAAAGAAAATAATACAGGGCCAGAAAAACATGAAGGGGAGTAAAGGTGAATTTTTATTTGAACTATCTTTAGAGCTGGCAGTATTTTCTCTTCATTAGAAACCTGCATTGGAAAGGGCTGGAAATGAGCAGATTAATTGCCGGTGCTGGGCAACCCTGTTGCTTTTGGTATCCCAAAATACACCATTCAGACAATGCTCAGACAGTATAGTGGGGCAGATTCACAATGGTGCTTGCAAAAGTCCAATTTGTGCAGGGCGACATTAGCCTTTCACCCCTGATTTCTTGGAAAATTCAACAACACAACAGTATAACGGCTGCCAATTTGTTTCAAAGCAGAGGCATTTGGCACAGTTTAGACATCAGTAATTTGAAAATTCTTTATTTTATTAGAAATCTAGGTCACATATTTCAGTTGTATGGCAAAGGTTTGGAAGCGCTCATCCTGGCCTCTAGAGCAAAAGAGACGGCCTCTGATGATACCCAAATGAGATCTGAATAATGATATTATCAAGGCAAAAGGCAGCATTGTGCAAGATACATTAGGACTGTGTTCCTACAGCCATATTCAGAAAGGAATAGTTGACCCTGAGAAAGTTTCAGTTTCAAAGAAATGCCTTTTTTCCTCGTACAACCTTGTAAAAAAAGGAGGGATGAAACTACTGTTTTCTGGCTAACTCAATGTGTTTAGTGATCCATGTTGTCAAAACCCTGGAAAAAATTGATTTAAAAAAATAATTGCTTCTCTGGGGACCACTGGATTTTAAAAAGACAGAGAGAGAGAGGCTGATACGAATAAAACGAGAAAGAATGGCAAACACGTCACAGTGTCAACAGTTTAACAGGTGATTTGTTTGCTTACTGAGGAGATCAGTGGACCCATGGTCAACTGAATTTCAACACTGGTCATCCCATTGCACCTTGGTTTCAATAACAATGTTATATATCTCCAATTGCTTCTAAAGCAGGTATAAAGAAGCAGACCTCAAAAGCCTAAGGCTGCTGCTGCTTACTGATCTAATCTGACTGTATTACACCCTAAGGACCATAACAATAAAAGCATGGATAAAGCACCATCTAACCTACGTAAATATAACAGAGTTCCAACAGATTTTTACAATGAATTTCCATGTTTTCCAGTTGTTTGTGACTACCAGATAAGCTTAACGTAACTAGAAGAATTTGGGCCTGCAGTGACTACAGAAATGTCCATTATTTTTCCAGCCACATTCCCATCGGCAGCAACCTGCAGCAATGAAAGAACTGAACCCAGTACACACACACACACATTAATATATATATATATATAAACTCGTGTATTCCTTCTAAGATACATAAGTAGAGTGCTTAAGAATAAAATAGCCTATTATTTATTTCTTAAGGCATTTGCCTATGTTTTAAAAGTTTATTTTATCAATTTCTAGAAAATGAAATATTTGAACAACTGTCCAGAAATGTCCATGACTTTTTAATATTGCATTAATTCTCATGACTTTCCCAGAGAAATCTAAATTTTGACAATGTCTGACATTACCATGTTTTCCATGACTGTGAGAACCCTGATATAAATCAAGCATGTATGAGCAGATGCACCAGAAGCAGTTCAGACAGAAGTTGGTGATCTAACAAAGGGGCTGTATAAACAATCAAACAAGATGGTGGAGAAAAGGGTGCCAGAACAAAGACCCTGCACTGATTTTTGACTCAGTGTTGATTACCCAAGTCCTGACACATGGAGAAAAGAGGAGACATCAAAGTGCAACATCATCCGTGTGATATACTTGTATGCGTATATTTTGTCAGCGGCTGTGCATCATTACATGTTCACAAAGTCTTGAGACTCACCACTGTGTCCTGACTCCTGGTTGGTCATGGTGGGCTCCAGGTCCACTTTGTTCTCGCATCGTCCTAGTCCCTGTATCAGCTGTTCCAGTGGTAACTCTGAATTCGCGCTAGGGTAACACCTTAAACCGCTCCCGCATCTCGGCGTATAGACGCCGCACAGCTCGCCCTTCTGCCGTGCGCAAACCGGACAGCAACCGCAACCCGGTTCCCTGACAATCTCGCAAGAGGTGGTGATCTTGGGACACGCCGCCTGGCGCTCCGCGGTGCAGCTCGGGCAGCGGAACACGATCTCCCCGACCGAGCCGTGCAGGAGCAACAAACTGCAGAGCAATGCACAAAACATGCCTTTATCTTTAAGACTGACAGATGTCGGGATTCTGCAGGCGACTTCAGGTGGAAAAGTAAAAGTGCGTTTGGGGACAGGTGAGGTTCGCCGGAGAGCTCTGCTGGGTCCTATTTGCTGTCATGTTACTCCGACGTGACATCACGTCAAAACCTAGTCAAAGTCAAATGAAGAGTCGATATAGTCGGACTGCAGGCTGTTTCATCTGCGAAAGATACGCTGTTTTAGATGAATGTTTGTTATGATTGATTCTACTATCATGTTTCTTAAGTTGAAATGACCATAGTAACCATATGTCTGGGCTAGCCAAAACAACAGCATTCGCCTTCTATGTTTATTGTTCTAACAATACAACCAGTGTGCGATTTAAACATTGACTTGATTGGAAGAGAATTTTATGGAAGCTTGTTTCTGAATAAAAATTAAAAGAGGTAATTGTGACTTTTTATCTCACAATTCTGACTTTTTTTCTCGCAATTGCAAGTTTATATCTCGCAATTCGGACTTTTTTTCTCAGAATCGCGTGATGTAGGCTAAACTCGCAATTGCGAGTTATAAAGTCAGAATTGTGAGATATAAACTCGCAGTTTTTCTCGCAATTGCAAGTTTACATCTCGCAATTCGGATTTTTTTTCTCTTAGAATTGCGTGATATAAACTCACAATTGCAAGTTATAAAGTCAGAGTTACAAGATAAACTCACAATTCTGACTTTTTCTCACAATTGCGGGATATAAACTCGCAATTGCGAGATAAACTTGCAATTGCAAGTTATAAAGTCAGAATTTTAAGATATAATCTCACAATTCGGACTTTTTTCTCACGCTTGCAAGTTTAAATCTCGCAATTCTGACCTTTTTCTCGCGATTCTGAGTAGTTATCTCGCAATTCTCACTTTTTTCTCAGAATTGAGTTATAAACTCGTAATTGCTAGTTATAAAGTCGAGTTGCTGGGAAAAAATACTTTATTCTCAGAATTGTGAGATACAAACTGGCAATTGTGACTTTATAACTCGCAATTGCGACTTTATATCATGTAATTCTTTATAACTGGCAATTGACTATGCAATTAAAAAAAAAAACATTTCTTTTTCTGTGGCGGAAACGAGCTTCCATAATTTTCTGTGAGTATGTGATTTATACATTTATTTGATTGGAAGAGAATTTTATGGAAGCTTGTTTCCATAAAGCTTGTAACGCAAACCACTCGAGCGGCCTGGTGCACACAAATTTATTGACGTGATATTTGTGTGACGTTTTGTGGTTACTAAAACTGTGTTTGAAAACCATTCAAACTTATATTAGCTACTTATACATCAAAAAAAGATTAACTACTTTTTAGGAACTTTTTGTGTTTTTTTAAGGGTGTTCAAGCCTTAAAACAAATTAAGAAAATGACAGAAAGATTCTTTTTACACTCTCCCATTTTCATTAACTTTCAGTAACTCTCCCATAACAGTTTCTTTGGTGTGTTGACGAAATCTAAATAGTCCACCTGTTTTATGTCCCCGACCCCTTGTACTGGGTCTTTGTGTGTGGTGGTGGTGGTGGTTGCTTGTTAAATTGGCCTATAAGAAATTCAAAAAATGCTTATTTTTTTCTTGTTGATCAGATTATTTCAGGTCTACACCACCCCTTTCAATTAGTTCAAAACTTCATTGGGTTCGAGCTCAATCGTATTAAATGAGATTTTACAGTCTGATTGAGCCATCAATAAGATTATAAATGGATTATTTGGTTGCATGTAAATGTAGCTACTGTGGGACAGGTTATGCACCGAAGTTTAATACTTAAAGTTAGGCGTTTGTTCAAGTTTCGTTCAAACTGAACCCTGAGCAGTAGTAGCAATGCTTGCGTTAGCATTGGCCTACCAATAATTAATTCTTAATAATATTTAAGCTCCTTTGCTGATGTGTTCCTTGTTAATTAGTTTTGGCTGCCAGGACTGTTATATTTCTGGACTTGGCAGAAAAGGCTGGGCTTGACAATAACAGCTGTACTTAATTTATTATTTAGTTTATTTCTTTCTGTTTCCAAATCACGTATCTCTCTGTATGTGAGTCAGGAGCTGTACAGCTAAACAGGCTTCTGTTACCCCATGTGTCTGTCTCTCGTGGTTGCTGTAGAGACTGAATGTTGTTGATCACTGTTGATTTATGAGCACAGAAACAGCCGCTGACTGAGTAACTCTAGCCTGTAGTAACAAGCTGTCAGGCATAAGGATTCTTTGTTTAATGGATTGTCTATGATTCTATGGCTTATTCATGCCTGTGCGTCCCCGTGGCTTATGAGATAGACTTTGGAGACTTAAGGCTGAAGTCTCGATTAGCCCTGAATATACAAATCACTGTATATCATCAGGAAAAAAACACATGCAGTCAAATTTGCTTAACAAACCATTTGTCAGATATAATGTAGTTTTTAGTTTGCTTTCTGATGGGAAAGAATAGTTTATTGATTATGCCAATTATTTTTGGACTAGTGGTATTTCAGTTCTATCAAGGGAATAGTTTACACAAAACTGAAATGTATCGAATATTTCTCTATTACATGAAATAAAAACTCAATCTATTTTCTAAATGCGTGTTATAGATTATATTGTAAACAATTAATATGTGCATGTTTAATTTTGAAAAATATTTTGACCTCATAATTTAAAATCAAAATGTCATAACTGGACCTTCCGGTGAAAACGGCAAACTTCTCTCTAATGATGTATGAAGTGCTTCTCCAATCATTTAGTCCACTTAAACCCCGCCCATGAAAGCTGTTCATCTGCCTACACTTTTGAGTGCCACGCCCACATCTCATCATCCAATCAACAACTGATTCATTGAACCAAATCACTGCCCTAAATTTTTTTCTTTTTCAATGATCTATCGGCTGTACTTCAAAATATGTATGAAAAGATTTGTCATTACTTCAGTTTCATCGCAACTTTAAATTTCGGTCTGTTTCTCACACAAAGTTATCACACAAAGTTATCGTATAACTTCAGAACATTCCGAATATAGTGCAGAAGTTGTATGGACTGCTTTTAAAAAAAATTTGTTCGTTTTGGAGTTTGTATGAAAAAGAGCTATATTACAAATCTTCAAAACTTCTCCTTTGAAAATAAAAAGCAACAAAACAGTTTAGACTAGAGTAAATAAATAATGGGAACATTTTTATTTTCAGGAGAACTACAGTATTCCTTTAGGAGAAGATGGAGAGATTGAAATGGAGGGAGGGAAAGAGGTGTCTCTTATTTTGGAAAAGCAAATAAATGGCATGAACCTGAGCAGCTGCCGTATTACACAATGTCTTTCCAAGGTCACCAACTGGAATATCAAAGAATTCCCACTGAGCAGCCAACGGACCTGGTCTATGTATAAACATCCTCAGAGTCCATGTTCCTGTGCCACACTAAATATGACATTTATTCTCACTAAAAATAAATCTGTGTGTGTGGGAAAGTCTTAAGTGAAGTTTTCCATAATTAGACATATCCTCAACCAAACATTAGGCACAGAGATCCAGGAAGACAGCTAAGGGTTGAGCAAACTGGCATCCAGGTGAAGGGACACCTGTTTCATGCTACCAATACACGAGGCAAGAGAGCATCAGGAAAAAATGCCTTTTACACTTTTCCACTGTTAACAAGCTTCCTGCATTTGACCCATGGGTAAATTCTGGGATTTCCAGGCGGATGTTGTACAACTTAGCAAAGGATGAAGTCTGAACCACCTTGGATTGGTCTGTGAGGTAACGTCTGACGAGTTGGTCCCTCAACACCATCTCTGAACTTCCTTTCTCTTAACACACCAGAATCTGGCACGGCTTTTTCCACAAGGAAGTGTATACGGAATCTATGGTGAATAAGCATTACAGATTTTATTTCTCGCCACCGTTAGGGCCAGCTCTTCATGTCATGTTTTACTGCAGCTTGGGTTAGTTATTATTAGGCCCAGACGACCTTTATTCTGATTTTCAGTGTTGATTTTGAGGAACCATGCAGCGCAATTCTCCAAAATGGTTTTAACAATGTCAAATGTGTTAAACGGATCTTAAAGTAGTACTCTCTTTGGGCGTACTTTAGATTCTGTATGGGCCTAGTTATCCAGCTAGGATACAGTATATTCCATGAGTAAAACAATAAATAATAGTGTCCGTGTCCTCATTTTTGTTCTATTTTAGGAGATCTCCACAACTAACTTGCAGATTTAATTTTACACTTCATTTGTCCTCTGCAACTTTCCTCCCAGATCATGATATGTGGACATCATTCTCTCTCTGCATTCTCCATGTTTCATTAATTATCCGGCCCCCACCGCACAGTAATTTGTTTGGCACTGGTGAACTGCGGCCAGTCAACTGAAAGGGTTGAACCCTAGGCATTGCCAAGATACACAGTCTCTTCTTTGTGTCCAGATATAAATAATTGCATTGAGTGTGGAGAACTGCCTGGACATCTTCCCTTCGGGTTTCTAGGAAGAGTGGCAGCAAAGACCAATGAGATTTGTCTGGCTCATTGAAGGACTGGAGTCTGAGTGCCACCTGGAGGATTAAGCCTGGGAAGATCTAATGCAGGTCTAGAAGGTTTTGGGTTTAAAGGGTTTGTTCACCCAAAAATGAAAATTCCGTCATTAATTACTCACCCTCATGTCGTTCCAAACCCGTAAGACCGGTCATGTGTGTGATGCTGACCAGCGTCGGCCAATAATGAGCCGACGTTCTGACGTAGAACCCAGAAGCTCTGCACTGTTTACACTACGTCAACAGCGTAGGAGAATGACGTGGAAGAGAAGAGATTGTTGAATAATGTTGTTATTTGGGGGTTGCGCACAAAAAGTATTCTTGTCGCTTCATAATATTAAGGTTGCACCACTGTAGTTACATGGACTATTTAAACGATGTTTTTAAACCCCTTTCTGGGCCTTGAAAGTTGCAATGACGTTGCTGTCAAATTTCATAAAAAATATCTTACTTTGTGTTCCGAAGATGAACGAAGGTCTTACCGGTTTGGAACGACATGAGGGTGAGAATTTGGGGGTGAACTAACCCTTTAAGGACTTTCCGTATAAAGTCTGTTCCACATTACAGCTAATTTTGGCCCAAAACTGTCCCACTTAGACAGAAATGTACAAAGTGTGGACTAAGTACAGATGATTTCAGTTGTGG